TGATGATAGAGACTTATCTCCTTCTACAAGAACACCATGTGCAAACCCAGGGCCCATTCCAGTGCCTGGAGAGGAGAACCTGGCAGTGTTGAGGGTAATATTGATGTACAAATGGAGGAGAGATGGGGATGGACAGAAGGGAAGTGGAAAATGGTGCTGAGTGTGAATCCCAGGGTGGAAACAGTCAGGATTTTGATGGAGTGATCAGTCTCAAGCTACCCCTCTGCTCCTAGGAGAACCTGTTCTAGGTTCTTGCACACTAAACTCATCTCTCTTGTAGACTCACAGCATCAGGACCAAGTGTCTGGAAAAAAACAGAGCAGCTCTGTAAGAAGGAAGGTGGGAAGGGTGTTATCTTTGTAATGAAGATGGAGCAACAGGGAGTTGGGTCTTGCATGTGGGTTTTGCTTCAAAAGCCCTGCCCTCCTGCAGGCTGCTGGGCAGCTGTGCAGGGCACTGTGATATCCTGATGTCTCTGTTATTTAATTAATGAACTGGGTATCAGAGATGAGAGCACGGAGACTTCAGTCAGCAGTGGGGTACCGAGACAAAAAACCAGCACTGGGGGATGACAAACTGATTTATGCTCACAGGTAACATGAAGGTAACTGGGGTATGTGTTTAGGAGGGGCCAGCAGCCACACAAGCCATCAGGGAACAGGCCACACAGGTCCCCAGAAGGGATGTGTGGTTAGGCTGGTATCTTTGCTGGTAGGAACCCGTGTGGTCCTGTCCTCAAGGTGGTGCCTAAACTCTGACATGTGGCTTAGAAATGTGCACAGAAATGTTCCCCTGGGACCCAGAGCCACATGTGAAACCTGGGTGACTGAGCATGTTGTTGGAAACTGAGCAGGAACCTGTGTTCACAGTGAAGACTTCCCCATGTCTCCCAAAGCTTTTGATGGACACACAGCACTGAGTTGCTGGAGCTGAACAGGCCAGTGGTACCCACTGGTTTATAGAACACCCTGATGCACCCCCTGTCCCTTCCCTAAACTCAGATTATTTAAGTTCTCCTTGCACTTGGTGGCAGGTGGGACAAACGAGCCCAGCAAAATCTTTTTGGAACTTCCCAGCTCTGGGTCCTGACCCCACAGCAAAGGAATGGAATGTGTGATGCATCTCTTGCTCTTCTGCTGCACTTCGGGGATCAGTGAGGATTTTTTTGCTTCAACAACTGCTGAAGAAGGATTCTTGCTGGAGACTTTAGAAGGAATATTTGAGTTTGCCACTAGGAGGAAATTTTGTCCTGTTCACGCTGAAATATAAAGAAATGTTTCTTGTGCATTTTTGCAATCTCACTGGGAACCAAAAGTGAACCACTGAGCAAGAAGGGCATTTTGTGACAGAATCCAAGCCCCCAGCACAGCACTAGGGATCCTTAGGGAATTGTGGAAGACCAAAGTGGGCTGATCCAGCAGAATCCAAACCCACAGCACAGCACTGGATCCCTAGGGAATTGTGGAAGACCAAAGTGGGCTGATCCAGGATAGCCTGCCCTTGGGAAACCTCTCCTTCGGGTCCCAGTGCTTGGGAATCTCTTGCTCTTTGAAGCCTCAGGGTTCACTGGCCCTTTCAAAATGTATTAATTCTGTCCCTTGCTGATTCTATATTTAAAACTTACCAGTGGGTAAGACACCTCTTGTGGATGCTGGTTATCCAACCTTGGCCCTGGGGGATGCCTGCTCCCAAGGCATTTGTGTGTCTCAGCTTTCCCAGATGATAACTGGGAGTGAGGATGTGGGAAGGGGAGTCCTTGCACACCTGTGGCACCAAGTGCTCCACAAGACCATGACATTAGTGAGTGCAGTTTACCTCAGTAGCTGTCAGTATTTGCATAAATGTCCAACACCCTTTAAATCCTCTTTTCCCCCCTCAACAGGCTTTTGGATGAGGAACTTAGCAGGTCAGTTGTGAGAAAACTGTGTGAGAAGCATCTTAAATGTCCAAGCCTCTGAAACAGCATAGGAGCTCCTAGGAAAGCTGATCCTGGTAGGGATTTTTGGACCAGTGCTGGTTCTGAGTTTTCTCTGAGCTGGCCATGTCTTCCCTCTCTGTAAAAACAAGCTAAAATCCTCTAATAGCCCTCCTCAAAAAATAAAAAATAACCCCACAAGACTCCAAACAAAGTAAAATCATTAATTTTGAATCCAATGAATATTTAGTTTCCTGACTCTTAGGTAAATATTAGATAGATTCCCAATTTCAACCTGAAGCAGTTTATTCGGCTGCTGTTCACAAGTCAGACACAGCAAAAATCAAAGAAATCTCTTTTGATTCAGGTTGGGTAATATTGCCTGAGGGGTAACATCATTTTCATTTCCACACATCCAGCACTGGCACAAAACGGCATGGACAGGTATGAGAAATGGATCATGGATCCTTGGTTCTAAAATTCCAGCTGATGGTTTCCTTTTTTTTGTGTAAATAATAATTACCAATAAAAAAATTTTGCTTCAAAAAAAGAGAATGTGAAAACAAAAACACTATTGCATTTGATAAAGCAAAATCCTTTGCAGTACTGCCAAAAGAAAAAAAAATAAATGAAAGAAAGAAAAACCAAAAGAGAGTTAAAACAAATATAGCTGTTAAATAAAAGATCCAGGTACCAAAGAGCAAAATTTAATGAAAGCCAAAACTGTTAAATATGGAATCCTGTTGAGAAAAAATGTCAATGTCTTTAAGAGTTTTACCATTACTCTATTTTTAAGAAAAGTGTAGTAAAAATACATATTACAAGTTTACATTTTCCACGCTTTTGTCCTATTCACCTTTTTTTTCTTTTTTTTTTTTTTTTTTTTTTTTTTTTTTTTTTTTTGTAACCCCTCCACTGATCAAAAGCCTTTCACAGCTGCATCTCACATCTTCACGTCACAGGTGGCCAGTTCTAGCAGAGCTGCTGCTCACGAGACTGCTGTGACCTGCTGCCACGGGGTCCTGTTCCTGGAGGAGGATGGGGCACTGGTGGGTACCAGTAGCCTGTTCCCACCACACTGGCCCAGAACACGACAAGAGCCGGGTCAGGAGACTCATCTGAGAGCTCTGGACATGGAAAAAAGAGCTTGTGCTGGTAAGGATGCCTCCACTTGTGCTAGTGCTACACAGAACTGACATTAAAATTAAGAAAAGCACGTTCAAAAGAATGATAAACAACAGAAAGCACCCTGAAGTGGTGCTTGGAGTGGCTGTTAACTGAGTTCATGTTCAGCTATGAGAGATGAAGATCACAATGTTCCCAGTTTTGGACAGAGGAAAACATTGGCACAAGCCACGCTGTGCCCAGGCTTAGGACCTTGACTCTGACTTGCTGGTCTGCAAATTGTTGCATGACAAATGGATAAGTGGAGCAGATGCTTCAGACCAGGCTGGTGTTAGAAGTGGTAAATGTGTTACTCTGCACAGTCATACACTAATGGGAATTGGTATTCACACATGGTATTCACACAGTAAGGTTTCCAGCCTTACTTCCAGATTCTCCTCATAGACCTGTGCCAGTCATATGCCTGCATCATTTTCTCTTCACCTTCCCTTCTTTCGTGGCTCCTCTCTTGCTATGTTGCAAAAAACAGAAAAGAGCAAAGAAAATGAGAAAAAGCAGCTCAGAATGCTCCAGTAGCAGCTCAGTCCCTGGACAGGTATTTGTTTGACTCTGTGAGAACCTTTGAACTTTATTTGCAGTAAGTGAGATGGGACCAGGCCAAGTGGGCTCATTGTAGCCCCTGCCCCACAGATCTTCTCCCTCACCAGATGTTCCCCTGGGTATCCTTCACTTGAGAATGTCACACTCCTGAGGTCTCTCAGGCCCACCAGGGTGGGAAGCATTTGTCTGTCCATGCCAGAGATTCACAGAATGAACCTTTTGTGTGTTTCTGGAAAACCATTCTTGCCCCCTTGACCTCCAGGCCTGTGGCTGGACCCCCAGCTGCCCCTCTGGCACTGTGGGTTCCTGCAACACCAAGTTTGGGGTCAGCAGCCTGCTTTCCTGACTTGTGGATGCTTCCCCCTCTCTAAGGATACGAGTGGGAATCTGCTACGGTTGGCTTTGTACCCAGACAGGCCCCAGCTTGGTGGGGAGGCTGAATGTGACCAGCACTGATGCTGCTGAATGTCAAGGTTGCTTGAATTAAGCTCTTGTATGATCTCCTCCTTGGTTTGCTTCAGCAGATCCTTCCAGGAATCCATTCTGGCCAGCTACCTACAAAATGTCCCTCTGAGTTAGAAAAGAATGGCCATAAAGGGATTTCAGAGCAGAAGGACAGGGGTGTCCCCGTTGCAGCCCCATGACTTGTAGCACGTTGCGCTGGTTAATTGGCAGCTGTCTAGAACTGGGTGTCTGGAGATGGCCTGTTCCTGGCCCAAGGTGGTTCCCTTATGTGACCACCAGAAAGGGAGCACACACAGAAGCTAAGCAATGAAGAAATGGTTCACAATTGCTTATTAGCCCCCAATAACCTGGGCAGGAGAGTCACACGTGAGGGGAATAAATACCACATTTACTTTCCCTCTTCAGCAGCCGACCGTGATCTTAGACCAGCCCTCTGCTCCAGTCTGCCACTCTCCACTCCAGGCACGTGCCTTTCCTCTTGAATCACCGCTCATCGTCTCTGGAAGAATTACTGCTTTGTCCTCACGCTACCTGGGGTTTCCAAACTCACCCATGACTTCTCCCCCTGTAAAACAGCCTCGTGTTTGTGTTCAGGTTTCTTCCTGCATCAAGTCCTTCCTGCTGAGGGAGATCCGGGGCAGCTCCGTCTGCCTCGCTGTTCTAACTCCACAGCCTGAGTTCACCACAGAACAACGAGGGCAGAACCACGATGGACAAAAGAGGTCAGTGCTGATGCCCTGCACTGAATTCAACTTGCCACGTATTGGTCTTTCCTTTTTTGCCTTTAGTAGCTCAGACATTGTGGTTTGCATCCCAAACGAAACCAGATTGAAGGACTGAGCAGGGAAGGGGGAAAGGGCTGATGTTACCCTGACACCACAGGAATTAGTAAGAAAAAATATATATATTGCACACACTAAGACTTATTAACAACCAAGTTAAAACAAAATGGCATAGTCCTCATTAGTGTTCCAGTGGTTCTTTGATCAGGGATGGTTCACGAGTCTGTAAAATCCCATTACACTCTCCTTATTGCAGTACAGACCTGTTTCTGTTCTCCTGCCAGTGGATCTGTTTGCAAATAAAAAGGGAAATTTATTTGATTTCCTTGAGAAGATCCATCCAATTGTCCCTTCTGTCATCATCGTTTGTCTTGTTGGTGTTGGGTATGTTTTTTGGCTCTGGAGAGGTGGAGTTGGGCTGCCCCTGCTCTCACCCAGGGAATGGGTCAAAAGGCCAATTATAATCCCGTAGCTCCCAGGGACATGCCAGTGCTGTGGCTCATGCATGGGATCGTCTGCATGGATTTGGGGAAATCGTGGCTGACCACACGTCCATTTTCTCCACTGCCTCCTGCTGCAGCCGGCCTGGGAAGGGTTGATGTCCGTATGGCTTCGTTGATTGATTGCTGTGGGATTAAACAAAAACCCTTTTTAGGAAAGACGGGGGGGGGTCTCCCCCTGTCCTTTGCAATGTTGGAGAAATTATAATATTAACCAGTGTTGTCTTTCTGTTACTGTTCTCCCCTTCCTTGCCTCCATTCAGACTCTCACTTTCTGCATGTCCCCACTGCATCTGCTCTGTTCATTCACACCTCTTCTACATGCAAAATTAAATGTTTCAGCAGTATTTTGGGGTATAAAGCATCAGTGCCATATGCCAAAAACCTCTTCAAACTCTACAACATAAGAACAGTCATCCTGGATCTGAGCAGAGGTATTTTACACACTTCCCCCATAGAGATGCTATTGCTACTCCAGGACTGTTATGCACGGTGGACTCTGATTCACTGCAAACATATGTTTAACTTTCCTCATGTGAGAAATTGAGCATGTGCCTGTGTTTTTGTCTATAGTGATGACTGAGGTAACTAGGAAATGCAAGCCTAATTCAGGAAACCAAATTTCATCTTCCTGCTCCAGATACATCCAAAACATTCACTTTCAGAGATCTATGGAAACCACCTGCCTAGAACAATTCAACTAAAAGATAAAGCCAATTTGGTTTCTTTGCATTCAAGCTATCTCCAAGGGTACCGTCATTCTTTCTGGACTGGGATATTCAGGTGAAGAATTATCCCTAACAGGTAAATCTGGAATAGCTACTGAGCTATTGCATTCTGGCACTTTTTTTTGCAGCGCATTTGTGCCATACCTTTACAGTGGGCACAAATTATAATCTAATCTTTGTAGTCCCATGGACACTGTTCATATTATTTTACCCCTGTGCTCAAAGTAGCTCTCATTGCCTGTGGAATTTCCTGAACCTCAATGGGAAAAGATCTGTAGCACATTTTCAGTGCATTAGAAATGTTTTTATTGCTGACAAAACATTGAGCGTGCTGTGAAATGGCGACATAAAACCCAAACAAGCAGTTGCTTATTTTCCTTTTGATCCTGGGTGAGTTTCAGTGAAATAAAACCTATTTGGATTGTTTGAAACTCACTACATGCTTCATATTTCCATAACAAATTCCATGCTCATGGGAGAGGTCAAGATGAGGAACACAAGGGATGTGTCACACATCCCTCTGCCTCCTTGAGCACCACGGTATCTGTATAAGGGATTGCCCAGATACAGGTGCTCCACAGGTGCTGCATTAAATGTCTATCTCCAAGACTCTCAAATCTATTCTACTTTTGACACAACACTCAGAAATTCAGGCACACCAGAATTTAAGGCTGAAAGAGATCTCTTGGGCTGTAGGAAATATGCTTCTGCAAGACCATGACAGGGTGGAATTAAAAAAAAACCATTACGGGAGACATTGGAGGCAAATTTCTCTCAAAGAGGATCCATAATTCTGGGATTTGGAGGCCCACATCATCCATTTCAGGGCAACAATGCTCTGAGCATGTATTGGTGTTTTCAGCCTGGAAATGGTGCCAGCAGGGTGCCAGCAAAGGGAACAACAGGATGTGAATCATTACTTCACTCTCCCAGTTTTATCTTGCTGTTAAGAGCCTGGGTTTGGGGATTTTTCCGTATTGCAGCACCGGCTGTATCACACCAGCCCCAGCACACTTCATCCATGCTGCACACACATTGCCATACTCTGCCTTCATTAATTTTAAGGAATTTCAATGTGTTTCTGTTGCTGCTTGTGCTGTGGTTTTGCTCTTTGTCTGGATTTTGAATTAGCATTCTGCCACATGTCTGATCTTGCATCAGCTCCCCATGACAGCCCACTTGACCCTCTTTCAGCTTCCTCAGAATCTCCTATGCCTTTCTAGCAAGTTGAGTGACACAGTCACTCCATTATCCCTATGTCTTGGCTTTCCACCCATGGTCTGGGCTGCATCCGTCTCTGAAGGCAGCTTTGGAGCCGGGGGAGGATCAGAGAGAAGGTGTGAAAGGCCGTGGAACGGGTTGCCACCTTCATCCGCTTTGATTCACTTCTGGACTTGTAACAAAACTCGATTAAGGCAACCAGCATGGCGAGTCCGAGCCCACCGATGAGGATATAGAAAACCCCCGCCACATTGCTGAGACTCAGCGCGCTCGTCTTGTCCTGGAAGAAAGAGGAGAAGGGAGGGAAAGGAGGGCACAAGGGAAAGGAGAATGACAAAATTAATATGGGATTGCTCTGGGATGGGTGCTGCACAATATAGCAGTACTGGCATTACATCATCTTCCTCTTTAAATGAACAAGTGACATTTCTAAGAGCGTTTTTAAATTTTTAATTCAGTGTCTAGTAAATCTAACGTTTCCCTCACACAAACAAATAAACATTTTCTCAGCAATGTGACTCTTGGTAAAGGTTTGGGATCTCTGTTTTTCAATCAGCTAACTTAAATGCTTGTTTTATCCAAAATGTCTAGTTTGAATTATTGATTAAAGGAGGAAAAAAAATTGAAGTTTTCCTCCTCTGTGACATTTGCTTGTCCCTGATGTCTTGCCTGAAATAACCTGTTCTCTTGGAAATGCTCATTCCTTCATTCCTAGATTGTTTCCCCCGCAAATTCTGTTGCTGAGCAACACATTGAAGTGGATGGGATTTTTTTCCTTTTTTTTTCTCTTCCTTTTCGATTCTGGGGTTGAGGTGACACCTGAGCTGTCCTCAGAACCTCATTTGATTTCTATGTAATAAGGCAGTTATTTCATATGCAATCAAGACCTCCTGATGCATGTCTAAGCTAATTATTTGGTTGGCAATAAATAGGGGTATTAATGAGCCGCAACTTTTAGTCAGCAGCTACTTTCTGATTTTACAATTGCCTAATGAATCGTCATGGCTCTCTGGGGAAGAGACAAAGCTCAGAAATGCTCATTTCACTGCAAGGGAAACCAAGTTCCCACATCTAACCCTGATGTCACCCCCTGCAGCTTTCAAAACCTTCTCTTCCACGATGACCAGGGTGTGAGGATAATCTGGGCAGCAACAGGATCACAAATTTGGCTCAGCTCCATGTGCAAGGCTCCCATTTCTAGGGCAGGCTTTCTCTACAGTGAACCAGACAGAGTCCCCTGCTCCATGCTTGCTTGACTCGATACCTATTTGACAGTAGAGATTCCCCAGGGCCAGCCCAGCAGCTCAGTGCAAATCTGCTGGGGCCACCAGAGTCTGAGCAGCACTGACAGCCCTGCTCTGTGGATGTGGGAGGAAGATTGCACGTGGCTCTTTTGAGATGTAGCCACACAGTTAAAGGAGAACACTGGTGCCTGTGGAAGTGTCTGCAGCTGGTGAGGAAGCCTCTGCACAGTTCTTGGTGTTCCTCTCTGCTGCTCCATGGACACGTGGACTGGTGGGTGGCACAGCCTGTTCCTTGCCCTCGTAGCACAGTTGATTCACTTGCTTTTCTTGGCAGGTTTTACAAGAAGCAACCCACAGTTTTTGGGAAGGGAGGGGATTAAGGAAGCAGAAAAGGATATTGGAGTAATGTTGAAAGGGTCCAAACTGGAACTTCAACATGAGCACAGAAGGTTTCAGTACAGGGCAGTCTGCCTGACACTAGTACAGCCTTTCTGGCAAGTATGTTTTGCAAAGGACTCTTTCTGTATTAGGGTTTGATGGCAAAAAAGTCAACCCTCAAGGCATGAAAACATCTCAATTTTCACAATTAAAAATAACCTCCTGTAACAGAAGAGAATATGATTTTCTTTTTAGTTAGGAGAAAAGTGGGTTCCAGTCAAGAATGCTAAAAAGATATTTTTTCTTCCATTTCACCTTCATCTGACCCACTACCCATGCAAGCTGCCAAGCTTCTTCCCAGCTGGAGCTCCCACTGTGGGCTTTGGTACCATGGGGAGCAACTTTTCATCCTGAACCCTCTGCTGAAAGATGCAAAAGTTGTTATGGGGCTATCCCTGCTGAGATTCATTTGCTGGAAAAAACTCCATTTTCTGTGTTTTGCTGATTGATCACTTTGATAAGGGACTCATCATTGTCACCATGTGCTGGTGGAAAGATTGAGTTTCTCCCTTGTGTAACCTTCATGCACTGGTCAGGTTGTAATCTTGATGCTTCCTGTGTGCTCTCTGTAATGAGAGATGTCTGCAAATATCCTCTTAATTTCTGCAGTTTCAATATTTGAAAGATTATTTCTCTGGTCTTTTTCTAATCTGCCTTCATGCAGTTTTCCCCCCAGGCTTGACTGTATATTTGTTCAGTCATCTCTTCTCTGCAGATTGTTGGGTGTACTTTTAAGCACCTATTGGGTAATGCTGGGAGATTTTTAGTGGAGATGAAGAAAAGCAGAGCAATTAGGTAGAGGAAAATGTGTACAACATATCAGGTACTTTGTCCTTTAAAATTCAGTCTGAAGGAGCTGCCCCAGCTTCAGGGAGGGGTAAAGACATTGAAAGGGGACTGCCCTTCTCAGCATCCTAATCTTTCAGCCTGGCTTCTTAATGAAATGTGGCTGATTAGCACATGCTCTCTGCTCAGAGGGAAGAACTGGGACAGGAATGCAGGTGGAGCAGCCTGTTTATCTGTGTATTACTAGTAATTGTCAGCCTACACTTTCACCTTGATTTAACAATAGGGTGGAAATCTCCACAGTATCAGGAATGTCCAAGCTTTGTGCAAAAGGATGACACTCTAGACAAGAGAAAACCCATTGGTGCTGTCCTTCAAATAAATGGACCAGTGCGATCCATACTATAGTCTTTGACTTGCAGCCATAGATCCTTAGGAAATCTGCCTTCCTTGGCTCTGTTTGGCACAAGCATACACAAATTTCAGGGTTTATTTGCCATGATATTTATTTCCACCCCCAGTTTGGGGTTCATGGTTCAATGAGGCACTTCCTCAGCTGGCTGCAGCAGAGCAGTCTGGCAACCAGGAAAGGTTGCTTGTTCTTAATTCTCATTTTCCTCCTCATGCCAGCAGCAAAACAACCAGTAAGAGAGAGGAGATGACCCAAAGCAGTTTCCTGCACCACCACTACAATTCATTTTGGAGCTGTTATGTTTTTCTTACATTTACTTTGCAGTAGCATTATTATTGTTATTGTTATTACTCTTATTACTGCTATCCTTATTATTACTGTGACACTCTGGGTGAACTGAATGTTGTCTTATCCAGAAGGCAAAGGAAAGCACTGAGAGACACAGTGGTGGGCAAAGATACAGGTAAGGAAAAAGCATCCTGAGTTTCACTGCTGTTTCCTTAGTAAGGTTTCTCCCAAGGAGCCAAAGGCAGATTGCTGGGGCACTGAGGAATGCTGAACTGCAGGAGCATGGCTGATGGCACAGCCTGCTACTATGAGCAGGCTGAGAAGTGAAACTGCTCCTGCGGTGATGCTTGACTTCTTGCAAATCCTTTTAATATCCTTTTCTTCCTTCTCTCTCCCTTTTCTTCTGTCCCTCTCCCAGCAGGACATGCAGAGATGTTCTTTGGGCAGGAGTGGCATCTCATTGCTCCCATGAGCTGCAGGACATGACCCACATGAAGGGTCAAAAGCCCTGAGTGCACCACTGAGGCTCTGCCTGCTGTTTCCGTGCATGATCCTGTCCCAGTAATGCTCACAATAACAAAAAAGTCCCAAATTATTCTGTGTGCTTGAGAGGACACTCCCCTCCTTGCTGCTCAGGCTCTGTGACTCCAGATGCTCTCCTGCAGAGCTGCCCATCACTGAACCAGCTTGTTAGTGGGAGTGTAAATGTCACTGCTCGTCTCCCGCAGCAGCAGAGCCCTGACGTGGGGGGAAGATTGGCAGGTGAAAAGAGAGAGAAAAACCCATCTTCCCAAAAGAAAAACCCATCTTCCCAGCCTTGTTGCTGCAGCAACCAGGCACCTTCCCGTCTGTTACTCTCAAACATGGCACCGTGTCCATCATCCCCTTTGTCACTATTTAATCCTTGTTGGCTGACAAGCATCAGGCCAAATTTGCTAAGTTTCCCAGCAGGGCTGGTCCCTTCTGCCACCCAGTGTGAGCAGAGCCCATTGGCAGCACTGGGTGATGGCACCTTAAGTTGTTGCAGTCTCTAGAAGATGAACTGTCCTTAGAGCACGTGGCAGCTCCTGAAGCTGAGCTTCTACACCCAAAGCTGGGCAGACTTTAGTGGGGCAAGGCCTGAAACTCAGCAATGCAGGACAGCACTGGCCATTGTCTCAGAGTGCTGCCAGGGATGTGCAGGAGTACATGGATGGCTGGGGATGGGGCTGCTCAGCATAAGACAACTTTGATTTGAAAAATCTGCCAATTTCCAGCAAAGCTAGGGCAAGGCACTAGCAGAATTTGTTCCTTTTTTTTTTTCTTTTCTTTTCTTTTTTTTCTTTTTCTTTTTTTAACAAAAACAAAATTCTTTCACTGGAGAAGAGGACTGGGAAATGTGTGTCTTTGACAAAGCTCTTTTAATTGCATGACACACCTGGGTGTCCCTGAAAGCAGCTTGCCATCCTGGTCTAGGACAAAACTTTCTTTCTCCCAATACCTTGCTAAAGCCCCAGGAGTCACATCCATCTGCCACAAAATTTAGAGTCTACCTTGTCGTTACAAGTCAACAACACAAGGCATTGCTTGCAAGCCCATTTCATAGCCTGCAAAAAGTCCATCCTGTGCTTGTTCTCAAAATCAGGTCCTTCTAGGAAAGTGCCCATTACAGTGTCTCTGTCTCTCCTGCTGTGGCAAGTAGAGGGGGCTCAGGAAAGCTCAGGAATTGGTGGGTGGTTTCTAGCTATGTGCAGTGCTGGAGGTGAGTGTGTATGAAAAAACCCTGGGTCCATGTGAAGGGGTGGCTGCTGCATGTTCACACTGGGCACAAGAGCAGCAGGGACATTGCTGCCCAGCACAGGACACTGCCTGGGATGTCCCAGTGCATGGCAATGCAGCTGGAGCCATGGATTGAAAGTCCAGCACCTTGTGGGATGTCATGACATATCAAAATATTCAGCAAAGCAGGAGCGTTTGCCTCTGGAGTTTGAGTTCAGATCCACTAATGTATCTACTG